GCGCCCGGCACGCGAGGCTCCTCCGCATCCCATCCGCGGCGATCGGCTGTAATTAAGTAGTGGAAGCCGAGCGGCCGCGAGGGGAGAGAGATAGAGAATAAAAAAAAGAATTAGAGGAAATATTATACCGTCCTCTTGGAAGGAGTAAAAACTATTAGTGTCGAAATTTTGTGATGCGGGAACAGCAGAAAGAGTTGACAGGCGGTGTATTATAACCCACTGTGCGAATTAAAAAGGTGGTTGGCAAGGTTCCGAGAGAGAATCTTCTGTATTGAGGAAGCGTTTACATCAGTTTACACCGTAAGCTGTGTGGCAACCACTTCACACACTTGAGGTTAAGGTGTAACAATTGTGTCACACACTTATTGGACGGGTGATAGTTTTGTCACTCACTCATACGGTTGGCAATTCTGTGACGCCCGAGGTGACGCCTTCCAACGACTGTATTCATTCTATCATCCGCGTGACAATTTTGCCGTTCGCAATTTGAGGACGACGACCCATAGTGTCACGCTCCGTAAAGCGGGAGCGTTAGTGCGGGTGCGAGTGTTTTGGACACGTCGTCCTCGTCAACAAGTGTTTGTGTGTGTGTGAGTGTCGCTGGTGTGACGCCTTCATCGCGCCATTTGCATAACAAACTAGTCACACCATTTGACTCGCCACTCCTCTTTGCCTCCCCGGAGCTGCAGCAGCGGCAGCGTTTGCCACCCAAGTGGTTGGCGTCCCCCAAATGAATAGGGGGTGCTGGTGTGGGGGAGGTCGCGCGGGGGGTAGAAAGGCTTTACGTCTTAACTGCTTGAATACCGTGGGATTAATTCTGAGGCCCAACAAGAAGAAACAGTTCTGTGTGCGAGTGTGTGTGTGTGTGTGTGTGTGTGTCTATCGTGTTGGTGGCATAGCGCTGTTTTGTGTCAATTTTTTTACCCCGGGGGAAGAAACAGTATCAACGCACAAGCAAAGCACAAGTACATGCTCAGTGATACTTCGACGATGAACCGCTTGGATACCGCCGCCTCCGCCAGGATTTAAGGCCTACCTGTTTTGGATATTACATGATATTTAAAGGTGAGTCTGGCGGTGTAAGCGTCAATAAGAAGTTAAGTCCTGTACCAGTTGGTTAAGATAGCTGCGCGCCATGCCTTAACTACAGGTCGACTCTTCGACAATCAGGCATCTTGTGACGCAAGGGTCGATTTCCTTTCCCCTGCCCATCCCACCTCGCCTAGCTAGATCTATTTCTCTCTCTTTCACTAAAGCCGTGCTCTAGGCTGGCGATGCCGGCGCTCCTGGGCTTTTAGTCTTCATTTTTTGTACCAATTTTTCTCCCCCCTCCCCTCCCCTCAACTGCTTGCTCCACTTGCGCCTGTTTTTAGCGCCATGTGTCCTTGGATCCGCGTGATCCCGATGCATCCGGGTCGTGTGCAAAGAGCCGGGCGGGTGGAAGAGGTGGAAGGAGAGGAGGACCCTCTTCGCCTCCGGCAGAGCAGCGCCGGCCCGGCTGAGCTCGGCCGCCGCTCGGGCCCCTCCCGATTTGGCTCTCTAGGGCCTAAGTCGGTCCAGCCGGTACGGATGCTGTGTTGTTGGAAGATGCGCGCACTCACACACACACACTCAGTCTCGCGCGCTCTCTCACACACACGGCTGGTTAGCGGGCAGCCCGGCCGGCGGCGAGCCCGGCGCAGGCGTGCGGCGTTGCCGCTGCGACAGCCGGTGAGCTGAGCCCGGACTGGCAGAGGTGGATAGAAGGCGCTGACCTCTCGGCAACAGTA